GACCAATCACAGTCGAATGTGAGAAGAATAATCGACTGTGATTGGTCAATTTCTTACTCTTACTTCTTACTCCGTGTATTGTAGACGACGCCTCACGATGTCCTTACTGATTACGTCTTACGGACTTACCTTTTTCTATGTGCTCCCGGCTTTACGCTATGCGTTATGCCTTATGCATTACGCAAAAGTCTGTGTCGCGGCCTTAAGAATGCGATAGCAATGATGGAAACAACCAATTAGATTTTGGTCGGGAGGGTCCCGTTAGCACACAGTGCGATAGCACACATCCACTCAAATTGGCCGGTGCCTAGTAATTTTTCACTGTTTTACCAATGAGAATATTTTATTTTAAATTGGTCAATTAATGATGTGTGCTACCGTATCCCGCTCATTTTGGTCTCTATGCACTTTCCTGCGTATAAAGGTAAGAACTCATGGGCGCGTCATTTGACGCGTGCGTCACGCGTCATTGGGGAAATAACTAGATTGCAGTAAGCACTGTTGCGTTTAGGCCCGTCTACAATACACGGAGTAAGAAGTAAGAGTAAGAAATTGACCAATCACAGTCGATTATTCTTCTCACATTCGACTGTGATTGGTCAATTTCTTACTCTTACTTCTTACTCCGTGTATTGTAGACGACGCCTTTGACACGTTTACAGTTATGATCCGGTAAGTACTTATGGGCTGCGTTTCGTTATTCACTTTCAGTACTGGCAGCATTGCTCATGCCGTTCCAATATATGTCGCAATACACTTCCAATATACTTTTCCATCTATATGACGTCATAAATTTTTGCGTCACTTCCTACTTCTATTACTGCGGCTGGCGAGGTCAGGCAATCGCAATAAAAAGATGGCGACATCCAACGAGATGATAAATGCGGAAAAAATGTGTTTTTTAGATGCTGAAAGAAACGAAAGTTTTGAAATAGTTGTAAGTAAAGAAGACGCAGAAAAGCACGCACAGGCAATGTTGCGCTTAGATGGTTTTAAAATCATCTAGATGGAGATGAGATGGAAATCCGTAAATCCATCTTAGATGAGATGAAGATG